AAGTTGTTGTATTTCCTCAGCGACCAGCACGGATCAGCTCCAGGCATGACGAAGCAGATATCGTCCTCTTTTGGAAGACCAAACAAAGTACAATACTACAGCAAGAATAAAAGTTACGCCTTCTTTCTTTGTGTGAACATTTGGGCGGCGTTATGCAAATCTTCCCACATAGTGATGTAGACATGTGGGGGCGTGTTAGAACGAGGCGTTTTAGGTAGACGTGGCTGACTCTTAACTTTTATAAAGAATATCTCTTTGGATTTGAGACTTTAGTCTTTGCAACTTTACAGATCTTCTTTATGCACCAAGAGCTTGTAACACTCCAAAGAGAAAGGAAAAATTGAAATCGCGTCATATGACCTCATTAATACTTGAAACATTTTAAATAAAGATAATTGTTTAACCAAGTTAAAAATTGAGGATGATTCCCACAAAACTATATTTTCTGCAAAACTATATTTTTTGTTTTCATAATTCACAATTAATGTATACAGTACTACAAGCAAAAACTGTGTGAGGAAAGAAAATAAATGTCTACATCAACTTGACATAGTCACCACTGATAGGCTACTACTAAATATATTGTAGAAACTTAAATTTTCTGAAAAGCTGCTTTGCAACAATTTGTATTGTGACAAGTGCTATACAAATAAACTTGAATTGAACTGATCTGGTATTAGTATCAGAAATTGATTTGAATATACAATAAGTATTACAATACGAACCCGTTACTTTGCGCTATACTGTATTGAAATTCAAAGCTTACATGCATCGTCTTGGAAATAAAGCTTCATGTCTTTAAGTCCGTACCGTACGTTGTCAGTTATTTCTCTGAATGATGTTATGATGCGTGTACTTTTTTAAATGTCCTGATTGAGCAACATCTATTTCAGACATGCAAATTCTTTTTTTTAACAAGGTCTGTTTATTTAAAATGTTATAATATGCAAGAACAAACAAAAGATCAAAACAATACAATACAAAATATATATTCAAAACCCCACCTCCACCCACCCCACTACCCATCAGACAAAAAGTCAGATATGCAAATTCTATGGTGTTTTACTATCATTAGTTTCCATAGGAGTAAAAGTTGTGTATATATGTTGAATTAATTATTAATTTAACCAACATTTAAATAATGAACTGCTTCAAAATGCATGCCGTTAACTAAATCATTGTTGACACATTTGCAGTAACACTACTCTACGTAAAAAAAAAAAAATATAACATAATTAGATAAACAGTAAATAACGGTAGAAGGCACATACAAAGCATACATCTTTATTCAGATTTCGTGAGCACTTGCCATTTGTAATACATATATGTTGAGGATCTCGTTTATCTGATGTTTATCATGTTCTTGTGATGTTTGCTACTGCTATGAATATGATACTTAACTCTTTAATATGCAGGGGAAATTCCCAACATTAAACTAATAACCAAATTTACATGCTGGACGTTTGCATTGTACATTGATAATTCAGATATAAAAACCTGACTCTTTCTTAATATTAAAATCGTACGATTTCCTCTTAATTCACTAGAATGCATGGGAATACTAGGGAATACCAATATAGCGGCGCAGTGGCTTCACTTTTATAACGTCATGAGCAATCCAGTTCTCTGTTATAGATCAGTGGTGTAAACTTATAATAATGAGGATAACGTGGACTTAACAGACACACGCACATCGCAGTAATAAAGTCCTCAAGACACATCAGATTTTCTCTAATATACCGCTTTACCTCAAACATCTTGTTTTCATAATCCTTGGACCCAAACTCAAAATCAGAAATAAAATTTTATTAATCACACAGCCCTAAAGTACAAGAGAGATCTCACTTCTGGATTGCGAACAATGAAAACACATCACTGACAAATGTCTTGATTTTATTGCATATATAAATGGTTCGCAAGATACAATTAGCTTGATAACTTCTGTGTAGCAATAATACATTTTAAGTTTTTTTCTTTAATTTCTCCAGCACTGAAAGCAGAACCGATAACGTCAGAGCTTATCAATACTACGTTCTTTCATAATTTAGCCGGTTTAATAGCAGGTACAAAGAGAAGCAAAGAAGGATCTATTACAAAGCTACATGACAGTATATCTTACATCAGCGTTTCCTAAATACATCAGAAGTGGAAGAATAACTAGTCATTTTTAAAACAACAGCGAAGAACAACATTTAAAATAAATTTCATACTTTCTTAAAAGTGTTGTAAGGAATTTTAACTCAGTTGTAAGTGAAATAATTATTATTATTGGTTTAGGTTTTGCTAGGACTCGGATCTGAATGTCCCAAGTCCACCTGATTAAACTGATTTCAAGTTTGTTAGTTTGCACTTTAAATCAAGGGTCGTCCAGCGAGCCGGTGACTCTTAGTGTTTTCCTGGCCTCTGTAACGCTGAGTCAGAGGCGTGCGGATCCATTTGCAGCTTTTATTAGAATAACAGGCAGAGTAAAACAGGCAGTATTCAGTCAACAGCGTCACGTAGAGCAGGGGTAATCCAAGGGAATAAACAGTGGCAAAGCGAGGGTCGGGGCAGGCGGCAGAGAATCACACTAGTAAGAACAGTCCGAGGTAATACACAAGAGATGACAAGAAAGGGGATAAACGCTCAGAAAGGTAGCCGGGGCAATACAAGACTTCGCAACCATAGAGAGGAGGGAATTATGGGTTCCTTGGAAGGAGGGATCTGATCTTCCTCGAACTGCCCGGAGAGCGCATCAGCTTTAGAATTCTTTGATCCAGGAAGATAGGTTACCTTGAAGTTGAAACGTGTGAAGAAGAGAGACCATCTAGCCTGCCGTGGATTGAGTCGTTTGGCCGCTCTGAGGTACTCAAGGTTGTGATGATCCGTCAGAACAACAAAGGGAAGTTTGGCCCCCTCCAACG